GGCGAGCGCCCGCCCCGGCATCTCCCAGGCAGAGCCGCTCTCGGCTCTGTGGCTGTTTGCTGGGGAAAACAAGCGGGCGGGTGCCAGTAAGGTTTAGGATCCGCCTGCCAGAGACGGAATGTCTGCAAAGACTATTTTCCCTCTCGGGAGGCAAACACAGATGGGGGAGTCAGGAGCCTTACAATGTGGCTGCTCCATCGGGGGTAGGGGGTGGGGATTCTGCCGTGTGGATGCTCACAGCGCGGGGAGGCCCAGCTCGGCGCGGGTGCCGGGGCCTTGGGTAGGGCGATGGGCGGGCTGGCTTTGGGGTGCGGCCCCGGGCTCCTGCTTCCTGAGTGGGGAGAGGAGGGAGGTGGGGGGCTGCCGTGGCCCCTTGATCCACGGTGAATGGGAAGGGAAGACAGGGCTGCGCCCAGTGTCTAATGAGTCCCGTGATTCAGACGAAGGCTCTGAACGGATGGGCTCCGTCCGGCCTCGCCAGGCAGCCTGCCACTGGGGCCTGACGGTGAAGGGCACAGCATCCTGGGCGTCGGCCGCGGGGAGGCGGGAGGTTCCGCTTGGGGACGCTGTGTCGGGGTGGCCCTGGGGTCCTGGGAGCTGTGTGCGGGATGGGGACGTCCCCTCCCAGAGCGAGCTCTGCGCCCTGGAGACCAGAAGGGGGCCAGGCCTTGGAGATGGGCCACACGGACACCGCCCTCCCGGCCTCTCGCTGTCTTGCGGGCCCCACACTCGGATTCCAGGCCCCGGAGTGGTCCTGTCCCCGGGCCCTGGGACCGGGCCGAGCTGGCTGAGCCGTGTCTGGACGTCTGAAGGTCCTGGCGGGGACGCAGCCCTCACGCTCTCCCCCGACGCCCTCCAAGGCCTGACATTTTAAAGTCCTACGTGAAATGCTGCACAGGCAGCGGTGGGGCAACCAGACGGCCACCCCGAAGCTCCGTCGCCGAAAGCCCCAGCCACCCGCCGTGGGAGCCTCTCCCCCACTGTTGACCCCGACGTGGCTCCAGGTGGTTCCAGAGGACCAGGCCCGGCTGTGCACCCTCCAGCCTTATCCTCCCGAGGGACCCTGTGCTGTCTTCTCAGCGCCAAGGTCTTCCCTCCCCCACCCGACGGACACAGAGTGGCTTCCCCTGTCCCGGGGCGTGGGGGGACCTGGCCCCGGTTCCTCCTGCGTGTGGCTCCTGCGTGGCTCCCGCGTGGCTCCGTGTAGACGTGAGTCAGCAGCCTCCGAGGTAATGACTGCAGTTCGCGCTGCAGAGGGGGTGCTCTGGGAGCACCGAGGGGCGCGGGTAATGGTAATTTCTGTGCGATAATGATGATGGGCCGGCATGTGTGCGGGGCTCTGCGTGGCGTCTGATCGTCACCAGGAGAGCTCGGCTGGGAGGTAGAGATCCCGGTGGAGGCCCCGGAAGCCGCTGGCGGCGTGGGGAGCGAGGCCCGTGACTCTCCCTGTGCACGAGAGAGACACAGTCTGAGCGAGTGGACTTGAGCCGAGAGGGAGGGTGGGGGCGCAGGGCTGGCCTCGGGCCCTGGGGATGATCTGGGCTCACCC